GGGGACAGAAGCGCCCCTGTCTGTGGTGCCGGTTGGGGACCTGGAGACGTGGTGTGTGGAGTCTCTCTGGGGACCCTCGAGAGCTGGGAGCCACGTGCCTGACCCTCTTCACCCCAGGGAGGGATGCCAAACCCCGTCAAAGCACCCCTCTTGGGGAGTCCCCCCACCCCCACAAGACCCTACACGCAGCTCACTCTGGGGGGCCTAGACCCCCTGGCCTCTATGCAAATCCTCTCCACACAGCCTTTCCTCAGAGGCCGTGCTGGCGCTGCCCACCCAGGGCCTGGGGAGCTCAGCTACAGGTTATACCCACATTTGCACCGAGTGGAGGCACATCCCTCACAGCACCACCCCCAGCCCTACCTCCTCTCCTGCCTCAACCCCAGCCCTTAGAAGCCCAAGAGGTGGCAGCTACAGCGCAAGGGATTTAGGTCAGATATCAGGGAGAACTTCCCCAGACTGTCCTTAGTGCCCAGAGGCAGGGGGTGCTACAAAGACGCCCCACCCGGCCTCCAACCAGAAGCAATAAGGCCTTGACGTGCCTGTGCACCCGGGAGGGAGAGTGGGCAGGGTCCTGGGTCCGGCGGCACAGGCAGCACCCCCCGGAATGGCCCCTCTCCCCTCCGCAGGGACAGCACTGGCCCCAGTGGGTGCCCCTGCCCTCCGCGCCCACCGCAGCCGGAGCCCTGCGCTGCCGTCACCGCCACCACCACCGCCGTTGCCCCGGCCTCTGACGCCGCCGCCCACCGGCTGCTGGCAGTGGGACGGGCCGTGGGGCTGCGGGGGCGAGGGTGCCGTCCCCCGCCAGGTCCCTGCCACTGCTGCCACTGCTGAGTGCCCACCCTGTGCCCATGCTGGGGCCCCGCTTGCCCCGCAGCCCCTGCCAGGGGATGCCAGCTTCTACAGCCTCCCGCCCCCACCGCCCACCTCTGGGCACCCTCAGTCTCCGGAGCCCACACCCAGCCCCAGCCCCCAGGCTGTGTGCTGGCCCAGTGGCTGGCACTAGCCCGCTGCCTGCCGAGCTCATATGCAATACACACCCAGGGCCAGCTGCCCTTCTGAGGGCCAGGGCCACTCTTATCTGCCGTTGTCCTTTAGGAGGAGGGTAAATGAAAGGAAACCCCCAAAGCCAACAGAAAACACACACACAGAATAGGCAATTATTTATGTTTTTGATTTATTTTGTCATATTTTTGTAAAACGGCAGAAATGCAATAAAAAGTATATTTCAACAGTGCCCAGGGTCAGCGCTACGGAAGAGGCTAGGGTAGGTACCCCTTTCTCGCATGTGCCGGGCCACACTTGGGCCTCCCCGTGGAACTGGAACTCAGGACCACAATTAGAAAGTTCGAGGCCATTGTTGCATATGAGGTGGCCCAGATTTGGGGGCCAACCTCAGTCTTAGGCCCTCCGGGAGCAGCTGCAGTGCCTCCAGGCCTGGGTTCAGCAACCCAGACAAGAAGCCAAGTTGCCAACACGAGGAGGAAGTTTGGGGGCCAGGGCCTGGGGTCAGCAGGGGAGGGGCTGCATGGTCCTCTCTGGCTATGTCGGGGACAGGAGATTTGGAAGAGGTGGCATTTCCTGGCACACCGCCTCCCTGGGTCACCCTCTGAGAACCCAGGACAGTGGGAAGAACATGGGGTATAGAGTCAGAAGGCACCAGGCAGGATGGGGAAGGGATGACGTGGCAGGGGTACCAGGGACAGACACAAGCTCCCCTCCCCCGACCCAATGTCTTGAACTGGTAACATGACCTCCAACCCTGTCATCTGGAAGAAGTAGACGAGTCCACACCCAAAGGCAAAGGACTCTGAGTCTGCTGTAGCCACTGCCAATGGCTGGGCTGGAGGAACCGGCCAGAGGGTTAGGGCATGAGGAAGGGGCACTCTGGAGAGGACCGTGAGGAGTTCACTGGAGGCAGAGCACAGCCTGTGCGAAGGCACAGAGGTGTGGGAGGCAAAGTGGTGGGGGGAGAACAAGGTGATGGGGGCACAAGAGGCAGGGAGGTGGGCAGAGGCCAGCACAGGCTCTATCCTGAGGGCAGCGAGAGACACGGATGGTGTGTGAGTAAAGGCAGGCTCAGATCCAAGGGTTAGCTCCCTAACAGTGAGGTCTGGGAGGGCACCACTCCATGGCATCAGCCCCAGAAGTGGCTGAGCCATGGACAGATGGCAGCAGGAGACCTCAAACAGGGATGCAGGGCTCGCGGGGCACAGGGCAGCTGAGAGGAAGAACAGGGTGCCCCTGCTCCTCTGGCCCCCATCTTCTCAATCACTAACAAGCAGCAAGGCCATGCGCCTGCCAGGGTCAGACTGATCCGGAACTGGTGGTTCCAGTCTAAGCACCTCCAGCAAGCTTGAGCCCTCTTGGCTAATGGAGGCCAGGGTCTCTCTACGCACACCCTGGAGCCGCCAGTGGGACTGCAGGACCCAGGCATCATACCTGGGCCTGAAGGGAGCCCTTGGGGTGGGTGCACCTGGCCAGGTCAGCCTTGGGGGACCTGGGACCACCTACTCCCAGAGAGCTGGCACTCCAGGCCCTGACAGTGATAACCCAGGGTAGGTACCCCTCCCAGCCAGGGGTCCTCCGCTTCATGGAGCAGCCCCTCACCTTCTCCACTGTCCACACTGCTTGGCTCCCTGCATCCCCTACTGGGGTGGGTGGGCGGGCAGGAAAAGTGGCACTGCCCCCATGCTTGCAGGTGCCTTCTCCCCAGAGCCTGGGGTCCAAATGCCCCCATACCCCACACCCAACCCTTCCAGCTGAGGAGGGGTCACCATGACACCGTCGATCACGTCCATGACAAGCAGCTCCACTGGACGGGCCTTTGCTCTGATCTGGGGGCTGCGGGCCAAACGCCGTCTGCAGTCATCACACCGTGGGGGACTGGTGGGGTCCTGAGACCCCAGAGGCCCTGCACAGGCAGGCACACAGGTATGGCCAGTTGTCTCCATCCACGCAACCCTGCTTAGCAGTGTCCTGGGAACCGTGTCCAGCCACAGCTTTGTCCTCAGCGGTATCCACTCTTTCCAGAGTGCCCTGGTCCATGGGGACACCTGGGCAGGTGAGGAAAAGGAGCAGGTCCAGCAGGTCTTGGCTCTGAGTGAGGTGGCTGCAGCAGGCCCATGGGAGAGTCCAGCTGGTCCCCGGCACTGGTGGAGGTCCCCTCTCAGTTCCTCCTGGTGGCAATCAGATGCCTCCCAAAGACGCAAGTTCGGACAGGAAAGATCCTTTTATTGGGGTGGACACGGAGCACGCACTAGTCCATGATAAAATGACTGAAGAGAAAATTCCAGAAAGGCCTCCTTCGCCCCCTCTCGCACGCTCAGAGCGAGGTCTGGGCCCAGAAGAGTCCCCAGTGGAACGTTAGAACAGGCCGCATCTTAAAGGCCTGGGCTGGCAGCCCGGCGGGTGGGGGAGAAGGCTGCTTGGCTGTCCCTGCAAGCCAGGAGGCCGGGACCCCTGGCCCCCACCCTCTCGGCTACACTCTCGTTTGTGAGAAGAACTGGGGGGCGGGGAGAGGGAGCTGGGTGGTGAAAATAACAATTGTTTTTTGTTTTTTTTAAAAAGCATCTACCAACATCACGCTATGGGGTCTGACGTCCGCTTTAACCATCGCTGGGTACACTTTACAGCATAAATAAAAACTCAAGGAAAATAAATACATCAGCTCCTAGGAGGGCGGACGCAGTGTGGATGGCACGGTGTGGGCAGGGCGGGTGGGACGGGGCGGGCACAGACGCATGGCGCAGAGCAGACACGACAGGAGGCGCGGTGAGGGCAGTGCAAGTCTTAAGTGTCCTCATGCATGTCCTGGCTGTCGGTCCGTGCGATCTTGCGAGGGGGCGCTGAGCTCTCGCCCTCCAGGTCCACTTGCTCCTGGTCTCGCTTCTTGGCGGCGTTCTGGGGGACAGGGGGGAGGGGTTATGAGTTGGGACAGCCCCTGAAATCCTGACCCGAGCCCAGGCACCAGCCCTGTGTGCAGATGGGGAAATGGGAGGCTCTGCCAGACACAGGGGGCCCAGCTGGGGTCACGGGGTTGGGCAGTGAGCAGGGCCATCATGAGCAGGTCTGGCTGGGCAGCCATGAACCTTCCCCCTGGACCCAACAGTCCCCTCCAGCTCCCCAAGGCTTGCAGCCTGCAACAGGTGTTTCACATGCTCAGCACGGCTTGCCATAACCCACCCCCACACCGTGGGCCTACTGCTCCGCTGGTCTGAGGACACCCAGGGGCTGCCTTCTCCCCGCTGTGGGAGTTGAGGTCTGCGGGGCACAAGGGGGCCAGGGTGTCTACTGAGCAGTCTCTTCGTCGTGGGGCCACTGAACAGCCTCACCTGGAGGTCACTGTCCCATGTGCACTGTTAGGGGGAAACACAAGCTAACCACATTGCAGAAACACATGGAGACTTCAATTTAAAAAAGAAAAATCCCGGGTCTCAGAAAGGCCTGCTCTGTGGGGTCAGGTGGGGAGAGGCACCAGAAGTTGCACAGAAGGGAGACCCTTCACTGCAATTGCACCTCCTTGTGTGGACTAAAGTTGCCATCACGTGCTCTCTGTGGGCCTCCAGCCTGGTCACCCAGCACACTGCACACCACCCTTCCCAAAGCACCAGAGCCTGGTTAGCTTAGCATAGCTCTTCCCTAAGCTGGGATGGATGATCCTTCTACTCCCTAAGCACCTGGAGAACTCCTACTCAACTCTCAAAGCCCCACTCAAGCACCCAGTCCTCCCAGTCCCGACACCCGGACCTTGTGGCCTCACCTTTTTATCCCATTGCTGATGTAGGTAGCGCAAGAGAATATTTGTCTTTTCTGTCACGATGACTGAGGAGGAAAGACAGAAGTCACAGGAAAGGCAGCGAGGGAGTAGCTGAGGCAGCCCTTTGCCATCCCTGTCTGTACCAGCCCTCCCAGGATGGGTGCTTGGCAAGGAGGACATGCCCTCCGCAACTGGCAAGGATCCAGCCCTCTGTGGCTGTACCCCCTGCTCAGGGTAGCCGCCCTGGAGGAGATTTCCAGAAAACCCAGAGTTGCCACCACAAGGGGCCTAAGCTGGCTGCCCTGCCCGCCCTAAATGCTGTGGGTAGGGTCCCATCCCCGGGTGGGGAAGTGGGACCACTGTTCACAGGCCCCATGCCAATGGGACTGCTAATCTACATGGCTGCCATAGAGACCATAATGCCCAAGCCACAAGGTCTGCATGGATTCTTATTCAAATTTAAAAGAAAAAGACACCACCATGACAAACCACCTTGGGGCCATTCTGCCGTGTGGGCTCAGGCCTTCCCTGTGGCTCTCCACCTTGCAGCTCTGTCCCCTGGCTGCCCGCCTCCAGCCACCCTCTGCTCCTGCCCTGCTGACAGCACCCATCTCCCCAGTGGGGATGAGTGATCCTGTGTCCTGGGCATGGAGCTGGCACAGGGGACACCAGACATGAAGGGCGGCGAGGGGGTGTGTGTGAAACAGGAGGCAACAGGTCAAGGTCAGTGAGGGCAGAGCAGACTTGCAGGGCATTGCAGGTGTCATATGGAGCTAGGTCTGACATCAGCATGTGGAAACCAGGAGGGTCCCAGGGAGTCCAGGTGTCCCCAAGGGCGGGAGCAGAACGAGTCTTCCGCATGCACGCCAGCCCAGTGCCCCTCACGGAGGCTCTTCAGTCACCTCCTTTACGGCCCCTGCCCACTAGGCACCCAGACGCAGTCACCCCAGTGTGAACCGGAACCAAGTCCATAGCCTAGGCAGAGGCTTGAGTGTGTCATGCCTGTGCAGCCTCTGAGCCTCACCCCTGGGCAGCCAGGCCAGAACAGATGGATGGACGGAGGACACTTACTTTGTTCGGATGGATACTCCCGCGTGGGCAGGTAGACTGAGGGACGTCGGTTCTGTGGGAGGGCAGGAAAGGGTCTGTTAACAGCGTGGCGGAGCTGGGTCCTCACACCCTTCATAGAGAGTAGGCAGCCCAGCAGGAACTCAGGAGAGGCTGGGCTTGCAGAGTGGCCCCCATTTCTGCCAAGACCCTGCTCAGGGGGTGCACGCCCCACCCCAAGCCTACCTCCCACCTGGTAGCCCCCCAACCCCTGCAGCCCCCAGACACACACTCACCGAGGCTTTGCACACAGAGTCAGCATGGAATCGGCTAAAATTGCTTTTGTTGTAGACGGGCAATCCTTTCAGAAAATCGGCCTAGAAGACGGGGGAAAGGCATATGAGAAACTAGGCCCTCAGCAACCAAGCAGCAGCCAGGCTTCTCTCTCCTGTTCTCTCCTGCATGAGTTCTCCGGAACGTACCCTGGAGCTGCCACCTGCTGTGCAGTGACTTACTTAATATGGCCCTTCTAGCCATCGTCTTTGTGAGTCCCATATAATGACTTGGTGAGGATTATGCAAATGAGATGCTTGTAGCCCAGGAAGAAAACTGAACAGCTTGCTAATAATGTAAACAAGGTGCATAGCACCCTTGTAGGGGTGAGACCATGCAAATAAGGTATATGGAACCCTGATGAGGGGATTGGTCAGTTTTGCCATCCTACTAGGTTTAAAGGGAGACATGCAAAGAGGGAGAGGAGCTATCACACAGAAAGCGAAGAGGGAGAGCTGTAAAACCAGAGACGGCAGGAAGTGGCAAAGAAAAGGTGGCAGCAGAACCAGCAGACTGGCAGGAGATGGCGCGTTGGGCTTTCCAGCCCACAGAGTGAGAAAGCTGAGTGACTTCTGGCACGAGGCTTCCTGGTGGAGTGAGGTGCCTCCAGGCACTTGGCAGCAGAGATAAGTGGCTAGGCTCATCAACCCTTGGGGCAAGAGAACTGAGCGCCTTTGGGCTGAAGCTTACTGGTGGAGTGGGGTGCCTCCAAGCACTTATCGGCAGAGCTAAAAGAGCTTTGCAACACTTGCCTGAACAGGGCAAAGGCCAAGCGGCCAAAGCTTGCTGAGAAAAGGCTGTCCTGACTGAATGAAGAACTGTATCCTGAGCATTCCTGAACCTGAACTGTAACCTGTTACTTCCCTAATAAACCCCATATTTGTGAGTATTGTCTGTGAGTTCTGCGTGGCCACTGCAATGAATTATCGAACCCAGCAGAGAAGTGGAGGGTGCTGTGGGAGGGACAGTTGGTGTCAGAACTGGTAAAAAGGTTGGAGGGTAGAGGTACATCTGACCTCCGCCACACAGGAATCAGCCTGGGCCTGCTTATGTTGATCTTGATTTTCCTTCCTCCTCATGAAGTTACAGGAGGTCAGATGCTGCCTCTACACCATTTTTACATCACCCAGCATGGACATGTCACAACCCCCAAAAAACAACCAACAAGGGCGGTAAGTGCTTCACATGGCTTCTCCCATGCGGTCCTCATGATAGTCTGTTACCACGAGAGAGGTGAGGACACCAAGGCTCAGAGAGGGTGGGCCACTTGCTTATGGTCACACAGTGAGTTAACAGCAGGAGGAAGACTCAGACCCAGAAGAGTCAGACCCCACCTACCTACCTCAAAAGCCCCTGGGCCCTGGCAGACAGGACTGTCTATGAGCAGAGGAGCCCCTGGCTGCCCTAAACACAGTCACAGTGTTAAAATATTAACCCTGCCCCTAGGAAAGCATGGCTGTCTTGGTTCAAGTTTCCATTAATCCATCTTCAATAGAGACTTGGGGATGGAGAAAGACTTGTCCATTGTAAAAGAAGTCCCTGGGTTGTGCAAATGGTTAACTGTTGCACTACTAGCTAAAAGGTTGGCAGTTTGCCCCAATGCTCGGCAAGCCTCAGCCCACAAGGGACCCTGGAGTGGAAAGGCCCTTGACTCTGTGTAGAAGTGTCTCCCTCTCACAGAGCCTCAACACAAAGTGGGAGGAATTAAGGCCATCTCTGGGAAACTGAGGCAGGCAAGCCAGGGGATGGGTCCTCAGGGAGGAACAGAGCCAGAGAGCTCGGGGCTGTAGGCCAGGCCGGGCTGGGCATGCCAGGGGAGGGGTGTGTCTGTGTGGGGTTCCCTGCGTGCCCCGCTCTGGACAGGGGGCTTCCTGAATACCTCCCCATACAGAGTCTGAACCCGACAAGGCAGGAGCTAGTGTCACCCATCACGCATACAAGGGAACTGAGGCACAGCAGTCACGTGTCACTCATCCAAGGTTACCTGCTTTGAGGCCAGGCTGCTCCCATTGTGTGACCCACCAGTGCCTCAGTTTCCCTGCCTGCAAACCAAGGGCTGCAGAGCCCTGCAGGCTGCATCAACAGTCTAGGACTCGGCTAGAGGAAGGGCTGGCAGCCTCGGGGGTGCACCTCCACCCTGAGGCCCAGAAACTCATCCACAGGGAGATGCTGTGCAGGGGAAGGTGGGGGCAGTGATGTCCTGCCTCCATGAGACCCAGCCAGGGGTGCCATGGCTGGAATGTGGACAGTAACTGCTACCATGCAGCAGCTCACTCCTGAGCCTGAGGCCACCTTGAACACGCCTCTCCCTCTTAGGACCCCAGCCCTAGCTCAGCCCTGGATGAGAAGCGAGCTTCACCCAATTAGCAAGTTCTTCTCAGGCCCCATCCACATGGCACGGTGCTGGGGAGCCACCACAGACCTTCTCTGGGCTTCAGGGGCCCCCACTGGGTGGGGCACAGATGTGAGCCAGAGAACCACACAGGTGAGCATAAGTGGCCTCAAGGACACAGTGCCAGGAGAGGGATCCCAGGTCAGCAGGGGGCAGAGGCCTGGCCAGCCTGGGGGTACATAAGCTGATACCTGAAAGATGAGGAGAAGTCCCTGTCCCAGTCTGCCCTGCTTAGACCCCTCCACAGCCCCTAGGGCCCTGAGGACCCAGTTCAGCCCTTGGCCTGGCTTGGCCCTGCTGGCCTCTGGCCACAACTCCGGCACCATGCCACCTCCAGGAATGCTCCTTTCTCCACACAGGAACACCCACCAACCACCCCTCAACTCCAGCTCAAAACGGCTCAAACCCCTCCCCCTGCCCTCTCCCCACACCTTGGGAACCCCTTGGGAACCTCAGCCACAGCGGCTCACACCCCAGTGTGGTCACCTGCAGACATGTCCCCCTTTCTTCCTGGTACCCCCTGAGGGCAGAAGGCAGAAGGCAGGGCAGGGCTGACTCAACCCAGGCCCCTGGCCAGGCTAGAGTGGAGCTGGAGCCTACAGCCACACTCAGCCGTTGCTCAGCCCCTTCCTGGCTGTGTGACCGGGATGAGGGATCTTCTAGACTTGCTGTCCCCCATGACACAGGGCCCACTTCCTAGGGTTGTTCTGAGTCTCCAGATACAACCTACGGACAGAGCCAGCACAGAGCTCCCTGGAAGGCAGCCACCAGTGCCCCATGTTTGTGCAGAAGGCGTTAATGGAGTTGGGGTACGGGGTAAGCTGGAGAACAAGGTCCCGAGACAGGGGACATCCTCACTGCAGCCAGTCAAATCCCAACCATCATTTCCTCAACAAATTCCACGAACATCTGTGTACCAGTCCCTGCTGTGTGGGCCACCCACCATTGACTGAGCCAGACTCAGCGCCATCAGAGTGGAATGAGAAGCAACAGTGGGCCAGGAGAGGAAGGGTGTGGGTGCCCTTGGTCAGGATGGGCCTCCCTGAGGTGACATCACAGGAGGAACATTCCAGGCTGGAGGAGCAGCAGGTGCAAAGACCCTGGGGTGGCAAGGACTTGGCAGGTGAGAAGAGTAGAAAGGCCAGTGTGGCTGGAGCTCCCAGAGGGAGGGGACACAGAGGGGAAGATGAGGTCACAGACGCAGCAGGGGCTGGGCCACACAGGGCCCTGTGGGCCCAGGGGGAGCTGGGGTTTCATCCAGGTTACAATAGAAAGCCCCAGGAGTGTTTTATTTGAGAAAGCAGTATAATCTCATTTGTCTTTAAAAACTCCCTCTGGTCCGCGGGTGAATTATGGACTGCCAGTCTTTGAGTGGCTCAAATGGTTAACTGCTAGATTATTAGCTGAAAGGTCAGCAGTTTGAACCCACCCAGGGGTGCCTCAGAAGAAAGCCCTGGTGATCTGCTTCTGAAAGGTCACAGCCTTGAAAACTCTATGGGGTACAGATCTACGCTGTACACGTGGGGTCGCATGAGTCAAAATCGATTTAATGGCAACTAACGATGGGCGAGACCGAGACAAGGAGGCCAGGGAGGAGGCTGGGGCAGGCAGCCAGGTGGGAGGTGGCCCTGCTGGACCAGGGTGGGGGGACGTGGTCAGAGCCAGGGTGCGTCCTGGAGACAAAGCCAACAGAAACTTCTTGTGGCTTGGGCATGGAGGAGAGGAATCGAGGGTGGCCCATGTTTGGAGGACCCACCTTTCCATCTTCTCCTCCTCTGCCCGCCCCCCAACATGCTGAGGGATGTGGGCTGGGGCCCTAGGTCAGGGGCAACAGGGCCTTCACTTGTCCTGAGAAACTCCCTGCCACCCCTGTAGGCCATGGGGATGCCTGACAGTGCCAAATGGAGAGCTTCAGCACAACTTTGGAGCCAGGTCACTGTTTCCCTTTACAGATGGTGAACCCAAACCTCAAACAGCCCCCAGACCCAAATCGCGGGGCATTCAAGAGGCATAGAGAGCATTTACACCTCCCAACGACCAGTCAGCACTATTCTTACCCCCACTTCAGAATGAGAAGACAGCTGAGGAGGGTGTCACCAACCCCAAGTCACCCAGACTATTGAACAGTCGCGGTCGTAAGCCCTTTACGACGTCAGTTCTCTAAATGGTGACAACCCTGTGGTCTGGACCATAGTGGTCTCCGTTTAACAGGACGGGGCCTGGGAATCCGGGAGATGAAGCCGTTCCCTCTTAGAGGATGATGGGCCCGGAATGGCGGGGGCGGGGTCTGGCTATGGAGGACCGAAGCGGCACGCGATGTCGCACTTCCTTTGGCTACACTGCCCTACCATGTCGTGATGCCAAGACCCCTCCCCCACCGCTACCACCAGGCCGGCCCCCCAGACCCTCCTGAACTGGAGAGGCCCAGGCCCGGCACGCCGGGAACAAGGCCCGAGCCAGGGCTCTCAGTAGACCCCATCCTCATCCCAGGCGACTTCCGGAGGGGGCCGCGACCCGGAAATGAATGAGTTGTCAAGGCCTGAAAGCCTAGAAAAGGGTCAGGGGTCTAGAAAGGAGCTGGGGCAGGGTCAGCGGAAGCGCGCGGCAGGGTCTGGGGTGGAAGGTCAGAGGTGAGTGCGACGGGCGGGGTCGGCCCGAGGGGGTTGGGCCTGAGGGGGCCGGGCCGAGCAGTGAGGGGGCCTCAGGGGTTACTGGATGGGGGGGTTGGCTCGCGGCGCCATTTTGTCGGGCGGAGGAGGGGTACAGGCCCGACGGCTGCACTCACCATCTTCTGTTGCCGCCGTCGCCACCGCCGTCGCCGCCTCCTCAGCCGCCGCCGCTGCCGCCGCCGCCACCGCCACTACAGCTGCCTTCTCAGCCGCCGCTGCACAGTAACTTCCAGCCACGGCACAGCCCAGTCTGATGGCGCCGCTGGACCCCCGTCATTGGTCCGCTCTCTAGCCCCACCCCCGCGATATGGAGCTCTGCACGCTCCCATTGGTCAGATACGGCGAAGTCATGCGCCCATTGGTCGCCACGCCTCCCTTCGCGTCAGGTTCGGTTGAGGGCGCAAAACCCCGCCCGAGTCTTGAAAGCAAAGGGAAAATCCGGAAGTGGGCGGAGGCTGCGCCGCGAAGCCTCTTGGGAATTGTAGTCCCGGAAGTTCGCAGGCCATTTCTGTTGTGAGTCCTTGCTACGCGAGAGCCTTATTTCGAAAGATGTTATTGGGGTCTCACAGACCTACAGACGACTGGGACCGTAACCCTTTCAGCCTGCTCCCGGGGTCCCAACTTTGGCTTTCGGCCCCTCTAGCTACGGCTACTGAGCAAAAGGTCGGCAGTTCGAATCCACCAGCCGCTCCTTGGAAACGCTATGGAGCACTTCTACTATCCTATAGTGTTGGTTTTTTGGTGAGATTGCTCCTGCAGCAGCTGCTTGAAGATCTTTCAGCTGACCACTCAGACAATCGCTCAAACACCTCCCATGGTTCCCCAATGCCCTGAGGGTCAAATCAGACCCCTTGGACTCCCTCTCCCCAGAGCCCCCACAATCCCACTTCCCAGCCTTGACCCCTCTATGTCAAAACTGCCTGGGTAGGAATCCACTCCCCCACCAGACTGATAGCCCCGTGAAAGCAAGAATCTGTCAAATACCCAGCATCTAGGATAAATTACTAACTGGGAGCTGCCATTCATAGTATTACTACTCCAGCAAAACAGCAAAGGAGAGATAAGCGCCTCATTTTATAGGCGCCAAATGAGCCTCAGAGGGCCAAGGCCTTGTTCAAGGTCTCACAGTCCATCCTCTGGGACAGATAGAGTACTCAATCCTCCCCTCACCGGCATTCCCCCCGCTTCCCAGAGCTATACGAGTTATATATAAAACGAGTGGAAATTTGAACATTAGATGTTTAATGACATTAAGGAATTACAGCTAATTTTTTAAGTGTGGTAAGTGTTGGGATTATGAGTCCTTATCGTCAAGGGATACGTTCTGAATTATTTACAGAACAAATTAAAGGATGCTGAGATCTGTATGAAATTAACACAGAAGGGATTAGAATGAGTCGTGAGCTGCTGGTGGTCAGGGCTGCGTACCATTCATTCATTGTACTGTTCTGTGGACTGTTGTGTATGTTCGAAGTTCTTCCTAATTCAAAAGCAAAAAAAGGGATTTGGCAAGGTCTGACCCCGCCCCTCTTCCAGTCTCACCCTAAATCTTCTTCCTGGACCAGCCCCCGAATTTGGAGAACATTCACGTCCGAGTCGTCCCTTCTCCCCGCAAAAAAATAAGCGCCAAACGAGGTCTAAGGCGAGGGAAACGCTTTCATGGGGCGGGGGGGAGGGGGGGGGTCCCGCGGGTGGTGTCGCGCTCTTCAATGGCTCAGTGACTTGCGACCCTTGTGCATACGGCGAAGGATGACCTGGACACCGGCCGGCGTGCTCAGGCGCCGGATCCAGCCGTGCTTGTGTTTGCGCTTGATGTTGCTCGGCTGATACTCGTTCCCGCGCGCCTTGCCCCGGGCCGGCTGCGGAGTAGGGAGTCCCCAGGCGTCCGGGAGCCCCAGCCAGGCCCGGGGCTGGAGCCACCTACGAGAGCAGAGAAACAGGGGAAAAGGTCAGAGAAGGCGCTGTGTGACGTCGGGCGCTGCGCTCAACCTCTCTGGGCCTCGGCTTCCCGATCCGCGCCACGACAGTGCCTGGATGCGAAAGGCGCACCATAAATGCGCAAGGGGTTGGCAGTCACGTGGGGGGTTAACAGTAGGCGCCAGTCCCCGACTCCGCTCTCACTCCCAGATTTGGAGAGAGATCCCCCTGAAGACTCACCTGCCCCCCAGCAGCGCCGCCGACCTGCCGGCAGGGCTCCACAGGATCCTCAAAGACCCGGCTGAGGAAGCCATGTCCAGCCGCGGGTCACGCCGCCTCCGCCGCTAGCGATTCCGCAGCCCATAGGCTCCGCCGCGGCAGAACAAAGGCTTCTGGGAAATGTAGTTTTTCCCACAGCAAAAAAAAAAAAACCTGCGTTGCCGCGAGGGCCTCTGGGAGTTGTAGTTCCACTTCTGCGAACTATCAGCGTGAGCTTCCGTGCCGGCATGGGAATGTAGTTCTTCACCGGTACCAGCAGGTGGAAGCGAGCGGCGCCTCCTCGGCATGCGCATGCGTACAAGGCATTCTGTCCCGAGTTCCGCTGTGAGTTGTAGTTCCTTCTTCTGTTCACCAGCAGAGGGTGTCCAGGGGTGGCTGTGGCGCAGCCGTTGGCAGCCGCTGGAAATGGCTGGTAGATCCCCGCCCCATCCCCAGCAGCAGCCGGGCAGATGGCACACAGCTGGCTGGCAACTTTTTTCTGGCCCCTGCCAAGTCTCCGCCCCTTGGCGGGGAGCCCAGGAGGCCTGAGTTCACACTGGCTGGATGTCCTTGGGGTGGTCCCCCATCCTCTCTTGCCTTCTGTTTCTCAATTTGTAAGCCTTGTGGGCTCCAAACTTGCCCCTGCCGGTCTTGCCCCCATTCAGGCCTAGAATTTTTCTAATGCACAGATCTGAGCCCCTCTCTTGCTCACATACCCTCCATGGCTCCCCACTGCCCCAGGGAAAATGTCCAGTTTCTCCGGCAGGCATGCTAGGCCTTCTACACACACATACACACCCTACCTTTCACCACACCATACCACACCACACCCTCCTTTCTGCCTGGTGTTTTCTTATTCATCCTTTAAAATCATCCTCGTATGTCCCCCTCTGACCTCTCCCCACCCCTCCCCACCC